CGCACACACGCACGCACGCACGCACGCACGCACGCGCGCAGAGAGTGGGCAGGCAGAGAGGGAGGGAAGAGGGAACATTTCAGGCTGAGGAGAGCAGTATAAGAGCCCTCAGTTGGAGCCAGCCAGGTTTGTCACAGGGAATAAAAAAGCTGGTGTGATTCAAGCAAACAACTGAGGGGGAAGAGGTCACGGGTATAGTACAGTATGTCAGATGGCGGGGCCTCCTAGGCACACATCAGGAACCTAGACTCCAAATGTGGTGAACCTGGGTCCCATGCAATGTGGTGTGTTACTTAGCTGGAACTGCCTCTACAACTACAGAGAGGAATTCCTAGGAACAGCACAGTGACAGCTCTGTGAGCCTCTGAGAGTCTCTTTACTCAGCTCTGGCTCCCCTTGAACTTGGAGCAGCCAAGGAACTCAAACCTAATGTAGGAGGGGGCGGGCATAGTAGAAGGAGCAGCTGACTCTCATTTGCCCACAGTCTGTCAAAGGGCTTGAGTCACCAGCAGACATTCAGAACGGTCTTGAAGCCTGACTCTTTTTAATGCATTCTTTGAAGGTGACTGTCAATGGCTCCAAAGTTCTATAGAAATGTAGGCCACACCATTTTCCTCCCCCAAGCTCCTCACCTGTTTCATTTCACTGAATCCTGTAAAGACAGTAGGAGATGGTACTCTGAAAGTCCCAGTGTACAGATGTGAAACAAAGCAGCAGAGAGGCTGGGCCACAAGCCAAAGGCCAATGAAGGCAGAGTTGCTGTGGGTGAACCATAGTAAGCTCACCAGGAGGGAAGCCCCACCCCCTACCCCCCCACCCACCCCCCACCCCGCAAACTCCTGCCACTGCACGGGAGTAACCATACTTCTCAGCATTTCTCAGATCCCTCCCAATAGCTGTACCCTGTTAAGATCTGTGTGGAACTGACATTTCAGGACAGCCTCTTCTGTGCCTTACTTGGCCTCCTCTCCCCTTTCCCTACCCCATCTCCATCATACACCATGTATACTCGTTTGATTTTGTGAAGGCCAGAGGGAAACATCAGTGTTTTCATCCATCGCTCTCCCACCTTCTTTTTTGAGGCAGGATCTCTCACTGAACTTAGAACTCACTGATTGGCTACAAACCAATGGGACCTCCTGCCCTGGGGGAGAAAGAAGCTGCCAAGCTTTTTCCATGGTGCCTGGGACAAAAATCTCAGCTTCTCATGCCCGTGTGGCATGCACTTTATTAGCTGATCCAAATCCTTAGCCACTGGCCTCTTAGTCCTCCAAGGTGAGTCTGGAAATGACTGGAAGACAGGAAGTTGGTGAATAAAATCAGGATGTGGCTAGATCATATACTATGGACGAGTGGAACTAAAATTGCCAGCAGCTATCCCAGGCCTGATGGGGACAGTCCTAGGTTATTATCTTAAACATGGGGATCCCTAGTCTGAACTTTTGCAAATGCTGAAGCCTCACTTAATCTCCTCCTGAGGCACCCCAGTCTCAGCTGTGTCTGGCAGATGTCTTGATTGGCTGGAAGATTGCTGCTTCTTGATGTGGTGATGATTGCTTCTGAAGGATGGGGTAATAGAAACCGCTATCATTTCTGAGCATTTTCTAGGCACCATCATTGTGCAAGCATTTTTGCACATATTATCCCACCGAAAATCCCTATCAGATGAACAGGCAACCCAGTGACATTGACCCTGCTCTATCCCCTATGAAACTTCTTTATGGAACTTCCATGTAACAGACAAAGAAATTGAGATTCAGAGAAGGAAAGTAACTTCTCCCAAATCACACATCAGAGTTCTGTTTATGTAACTCCCAGGTCCATTCTCCTAGGGCTCAGTTGATGGGGATTAAAAAAAAAAAAAAAAAAAAGATTTACTTGAGTCTCTTTCCTTGCAAGACCTGATTTGTTTATCACTAAGGTCACTTACATAACTAACTGGCCCTGAAATGTTCCCAAATGAGTCTGAAAATGCTGGAGTCTCATCCCAGCTCTGCTCACAGTACCTGATGGTACCCGATGGTACCAGAGTCTCAGCCATCTCCAGAGGATGTCTTGACTGGCTGGAAGTCAGATCCCTGTGGCAACTAAATGTTTTAAGAATTTTGCATGTGAGCCGAAATAATATCAAAAAAGACAGCTTAATTTTTGTGACTTTCACAACTAACAAGATGTATGTTGCAACTCAGCTTCTGATGGTTGAAAGAAAAAAAAGTAAATAGTCACAGTCATCATTTTCTTAGCAGAAGTCCATTTTAGCAAAGAAATGTAGTCATAGTCACTTGAGACTCCTCTTCCCTGGAAAATAATTGTAAATGTACTAAGAAGAAAAAGAAGGAAAAAACAAAAAAAGGAAATTCCCAGTGAGAAAAAAAAAATTCACCTGGGGTCATGTTTACCATTCAGACTGATTCAGACTTCTGACATTCTTATTTCAGAAGGAAGGAAAACTTGGAAAAATGTCAAAACTTGAGGATATTTAATGTTTTTGAAGGTGGAGGAGAAATTATAGTTGAGCCTTGCAGGGTAGGGATCAAGAGAGAACAGCTTTAGCTCTCAAAAACTGTTTTACACATTCAAAAAGCTCCTGAACATGGCAGTTACTGGTTGCTATGGGAAGATATGATAGGGCCATGATTGCTTTAAAATCAGTCATAATAAAAACACGTTTGAGACTCGATTCTAAATGTTATACTTAAATTTGGGTGACTTAATTGCCCATAGAATAGAAACGAAGTCCCACCAGTAGGCAGTAACTTCTTACAGTCACTGTGTGTGAAATTGAAATCTTAAGATATCGTATCCAATATGCACCTTCTCCAAGAAGGCTCTCCCCAAAGAGTTGTGAGAGATAAGAAATTGACCCAAAGTTGCAAGCTTGCCTCTCTTTTTTTCCCTTTAACACACTCAGTTCAAAGCAGAGGCATCTTATTAAAAGAATATTTATGCCCTGGAGTTGGCCATTCCAAAGTTACCTCTCGGAGCCCTAGGAGATATTTATTTTAATAACTAACTCCAACCCCAAGAAAATTGGAGCAAAGAAAGTGGTCTCTCTCTCTCTCTCTCTCTCTCTCTCTCACACACACACACACACACACACACACACACACACACACACACACACACACCACCCTGTTCCATTACAAATCCATGTCCCACATGTTGGGTGCATAGCTCAGCCAATCCTTACACCAAATCTTCTAGTAAGTCCCCATTTTACTAAAGAGGATGCTGAGAATGTAAATTCTTGCTGTCAGCCCAGTTCACACAGCCTTAAAAGAAAGATTAGAATATAGGCAAAATCTTTAGCCATTCTCACTATACTGTGTCTTGAGGGCAGTTTTCCCAGTCATAAGAGTCTATATCAACCCCAAGCAATCCGTTTCATGAGCAGATAAACTGCTAATCACAACCCATGTATTATCATTGTTTCTCATTTTTCTTTTGGTTTTGTTAATGAGACAATATCTCATGTAACCCAGATTGGTCTTTAAGTAGCTTTGTAGGGGAGGATGTCTTAAAATTCCTAATCCTCCTGCCTCTACCTAGGAATCCTGGTCTATGCTACCTAGACCAGTGTTTATTTTTACTTCAGACAGAAATGAAAGTAGGATAACAGGTTACATATTTATCATATTGTTTAGGCTTGCCTAAACATTGTAAAGATATTTGTGTTTAATTAAAAAAAAAAACAAGACCCTAAATAGGAAACAGTCTTTTTTATATACTGCAGGTGGGTTTTGGACCAACATAAGGGCATACACACAGACACAGATTTTATTTATCTTCTCTCAGTTCAGAAACTTCAGGACATGGAGACAGAAAATGACATGAATCTTTCTGTTGTGAGTCAGGAAATTATTATTAGTGAGAAATCAGTGAGGGTTTGGCTCTGTATGGGGACATTAAGCATCCAGGAATTCACCTCTGGCTTTAGCAGCCATCTTCCAGGGTGAGGTTGATCTGAGCTGCAAAAGAATCTTTAAAATGGGTTTGAAATGCCTATGGCCTTGATAAAACAATGGATTGTGAAAGCACTTGGGAATTTCCTCTGTAGAAGCCTCAAGACTGGCATCATCATAAGCTAATGAACCTTGAATGATAATTTCTGAAGCCAGTTTCAAGGAAGTCAAGACCCAGGGGAAGCCATGGTTCTCTTCCTGGAAAAGTAGCTAGCTAGAGTCCTCTTCTTCCCTTCTGTATTTCTTTCTCCTTCTAGAACTTGCCTTCAAGCTTGAAGGAGGAGCCGTAACTCCAGACCAAGTCTGTCTTTTTCTTTATTTATATAGGGCAAAATAATAGCAAATAATAATTGTAAGGTCCTTCCTCTGGTCCGAGCATTGCTGGCACTTTACGGAGAGGGCAAGCCTAACCGCTGGAGTCCGCTCTTGAAAGATGCTGAGGGAGGGAATTCTGTGGCCAGCAGATGGAGAGGAGACCCAGACAGTGTGGTCCCTCCCAGCCACCCTCCCCGCGGGATTAGCTGTCCCCAGCACTGCTCAGGCGCACCCGGCTCTTGAGGTGCCTGATCACACAGCTCGCGTTCCCTCTCTGGAGCGCAGTCGCAGCCACTAGCTCTCCAATAGAGCCGCGCTCTCCCGGGCATCCCAGAGCACCGCGACCGTGGACCTGGGACCTCGAACCTAAGACGAGCGCACGCGAGCCAGCCACTAGGAACGCTTACATTTCTGCAGGTGCTTATCTAACATTCTTGTCTTTTCTTTCCCGCTGAGCGGGAAACCAAAAGGGAAAGGCAGAAGAAGGGGAGCCCTGAAAAGGACGAATTAGTGTCAGCCCGGCTTCTTGCCCCTGGAGAGGTGCTCAGGGGAGACTCTCTGTCTCCTTCCTAAGCGGGCCCCTTTAAGAAGCCAAGTCAGTGCTAGTGCTGCTGCTACTGCTGCTGCTGCTGTTTGGATTGCTAATCCCCAGGAGCCCCGTTTAAAAAAAAAAAAAAAAAAAAAGGGAAGAAAAAAAGGGGAGGGGGCGGGCAGCTGTCTCTTTAAATGTGATTTCCTTCTATTGTATTTGAATCGTGATCAGGAAAAAGGAAATGAAACCAGAGACAGAGGGAAGCTGAGCGAAAATAGACCTTCGCGAGAGAGGAGGGAGCGCGAAGAAAGCAGCGCGGTCCGCTCCCCGCCCCCAGGCCGCCGCCCCCTCTCTGCCCAAGGCGCCCCGACCCTGGCGAAGGTGCGAGGGGATCGGGGCAGCCGGGCGGAGCCTGCGACTGCGCGCGATCGGGACCGGGCGGCGGCGGCGGCTGTGGTGACGGCAGCGGGACCGGGATGGAAGGTTAAGTCCTGGGCAGCGGCAGCTGCCGCAGCCGCCAGAGGGAGGCCGGGCTGCTCCCCGGCCCCCTACCTCGGCCGCTGCGCGCCGGGCAGCCGGCTGATTCGCTCTCTCTCTTTGGCGTTTGAAGGGAGCGCGGTGACTGTCCTTGAGCGTGGAGGGGCGAGCTCGCCGGCGGAGCGACCGAGCAAGAGGAGGCGCAGGAGCGGCGGCGCCCGAGCACCCGAGGGGGTCCGAGTCCAGGCAGCGGGCCAGGCACGCGCCACAAAGGGAGCGCCCCCGCCACCCGGCACGCCGCCTCCCTCTCCAATGTCCTCGGCCATAGAAAGGAAGAGCCTGGACCCATCTGAGTAAGTGTGGCGCTTCCTCCCTCGCGCCCCCATACTCCCCACCCCACCGGGTCCCAGACTTGGAGCTAGGGGCTGGTTTCAGGTACGCGTCCGCAGCGTGCCCTTGGTCCCTCGGTGTCGCAGGGGTTCCCCCTGCCTCTCGGGTGACTCTGGAGACACCGAGAAGGACTGGGCGGCGGAAGCAGTAATAAGGATCGGCGGGCGCCGCCGCGAGCTGCTCGGGGCTATTTGGAAAGCACTCCAAACCTTCTCCAGAAAGTTTGCCCAGGAGCAGGCACCTGGAGCTCCGAGGCGCAGGTGCAGTGCAGGGAGAGTGGATGGAGGTATTCTGCCTCCCCCCTCTCACTCCACCGGGTTCCCTTTCTCTTTGTCCATTTGGCCCTGAAAAGGGGAGACACTCCAACAAAACGTTTCTGGGGTCCCAGACAGTCTCCTACCCGGCCTGGGGCAGAGCAGCTGCAGGCATTGATGGGGTCCGCCTGTCCACCTGGGAACTGGTTCAGGCCTCCAGAGACTTCTAGAATAGCTAATTCTGAGTTCCTCCGAGTACATATTCGCCCCTCCCACGAGTCTTCTAGTGTGGGCATGCGAACCTCGAAAGTTTGAGCACTGTTTTTTGGGGTTTTGTTTTGTTTTTGTCTAGGTTTATTTTCCTGGGGAGCAAGAATCCCATCAAACTCTCAGAAGGTCTTGGGTCAGCGAACCGGAGCTGTAATAAACTTGTACTGTCTGTGCTCTGAGCTTTGCGCTAGTTTGCAAAGAACATCCCCTATTCCCAATCCCTACCCCAGCCCATTCTCTAACATTAACAAGGGGAGCCAGGAATGCTTAAGGTATCGTTTTTCGTGTCCACGCAAATGCCCTTTTAAGAGTCATTAGCTGTCTGGTTTTGCGTTTTTATTCCTTTGAAGTTTCCATCTAATCCTTTGAAGGGATTTGTTAACACAAGACCAAAGGAGCTGGCTAATGACTTGTCCATTTGTGCTTGTAAGCAGCATTTGTTTTGGTGGCTTTTTTTTTTTTTTCTTTTCCTGCTTTAAAAGAATTGTGCTTTCCTGCTGAAGTTCCCCTACTCACCTCCCCCCTTCAATTTCAGCCTTCTGTGGTGTTTATTTACCTGGGTTTTACCCTCAGTCAGCAGCATAAAAACCCAGCATGTTCTCATAAAACACAGGAAGTCCCACGATCCAGCGAGAATATAAACATCACTCTTCAGTCCTGAAGGTTAAGACACCAGCTTGGAAAGGAGCTAGGTTTGTTGACATAAAGACCAGCTTCCTTAAAATCTCAGGAGAAAAACAACAACCCTTTAAAAAGCAAGTCAGTGTCTATAGTTGGTTCTCTTTTAAAAATAAACTTAGCATTACATCTGAGTTCTGAGTTTTCAGAGATTGGGCAAGACGTGATACTCCACATAAGGGAGTCAGACAGACAAACTGCTGTTTGTTGCTTTCCTATCTGACAGCCTAGCCACTCATCCTTTACTAGAAGTTGAATCTACAGAGTTCAGTTACTTAAAAAAAAAAAAAAAGGATTTTATTGTTAAGTATTTGTACATGTGTGTGTGCACCTAAGTGCAGGTGCCTGCCCCCAGGCCATAGCTGTTGGAGCCCCTAGAGCTGGAGTTACAGGTGGTTGAGACCCACCCATTTTGGGCGCAGACTCTAATTTGGGTCCTCTGGAACAGCAGAAAACACCCTTTGGAAAGGAAGTTTTCCCTTCCCAAAGTTTGTTTCTTTTTACCCCCAGACTAGAGAACAGAAAGGTATCTCAAAGCTGTAATAGTGAGCACCTAGTCCAAGAGGTCCACTGATAGCTCAGTGAATGAAGGCTGTCATTGAAGATGGACAAGCCAGGTGGGAACAGAACATTTCCCCCTCTTTCTGGGAAATTGTTGAGAAATTTTGCTGTAAATCAAAGCTACAGAGGTACTCCAATGCAGGGTTTGGGACAGGCTGATGGGAGAAAGTCAAATGTTAACTTAAGTTGAATCTTATTCAGTCTTTGTCTTGCATTGTCCACCAGAGGCAATGTCACATCATCATTAAATATAGAAAGACAGATGGAGTCAGTATCTCGTCCTGCCCTTATCTGCTCTCAGACCATCATGTCTTTTTCTATTGCTACTCACTCACCTTCCAGCTGCCTCACTGTATGTTTGCTCAGAGCCAGCTTGGGTCTTTAGCACCACATCTCCAAATACAGACCGGCCATTGCCTAGGCGCACGCAAAGGAGGCATGTACACAGGGAGCCAGGGTTCGTGAACATAGATTTCCTCTACCATGCAACTGGGGATCCCTCTTGCCTCCCTGCAGGTCATTTTAATTCTGGGGAGTTTTATTCCAGATAGGTGCACATTCTTCTCTCAGCATGATGGAGGTTCTGCGGGTGTTCTTGAAAGCCCAAAGAAAGGCCATGAGCTTTGCAATGAGGAGAGAGTTGATTCTGAATTAATGTGCTTAAATGAGCCAAGGATCTTAGTTAACTTTCAGATGGGATGGAAACCCTTATATATACCCCATAGAAACAAAGATTCTAGCATATTATTAAAACTATTTAAGGTCTTAGTCCATCTCACCCATAATCCTATATACACGAGAGGCTGAGGCAGAAGAATGGAAAGTTCCAGTCTGGCCTGGGCTGTTTAATGAGATCTTGTCTTAAAAAATTTAAAGGAGGGGGAAGGATTTGTAAGCTGCCTCCACTGCTAAAGGCAATTGCTACTAAGCCTGGCGACCTGAGTTTGATCCCAGCCCTGACATGATGGAAAGGGAAACCAACTCCTGAAAGTTGTCCTATGACCTGTGTACACATGCACGCAAGCACATACACATACATGCACACACACCCATTTTGAAAAACTAAAATAAGGTAGCTGGAGAGATGGCTCAGTGGCTAAGAGAGTCTCTGGCTCTTACAGAGGACCCAAGTTGGATTTCCAGAATTCCTAATTCTAATGGGACTGCATTTCATGGGTACAGGCCAATTAGGCCACAAGGTCACTTGGTAAAAATGCCAAATAAAAGTAAGAGGCACAGACTTATGGCCCCAGGGTACCCAAGAGAACCCCATTCATCATTTCATGGCAAGAATGAAATCCAGTTTTTAAAACAAAACAACAACAAAAACTAGATACTTTTTAAGTGTAGGTTTTATTTGAATAAGGTTCCAGAGAGCACTGGTTAACTACTACAAATCAGCAAGGGTTAAGCTGTGCCCTGTCTCCTATTTGATGTCACAATCTATTCCTTCATGCTCATTTCCTTTCAGAAAAGTTATTTCTTATCTGTAAAACAGAAATAGTTAGGTTCCAGGGAGGTAAGGCAAGCAGAAGTTCCTATGTATGACTTTAAAACAAGTTTCATGTGTGTGTGTGTGTGTGTGTGTGTGTGTGTGTGTGTGTGTCTGTCTGTCTGTCTGTCTGTCTGTCTGTCTGTCTGTCTGTCTGTACAAGAGGAAGTCAGAGGACAACCTGCCAGAATTGGCTCTTTCCTTATACTGTGTGGGTCCTGGGATCCACATCAGATTACCAGGCTTGAGAGCAAGCACCCTTACCCCCGAAGCCATCTTTTAAATGAAAGAACATATCCCTCAGGCTCACTGTGAACAAGCTGCCTGGATTGAGATCTTGCTATCAATTTAATTGCCTTCCACTCTCTTTAAGGCCATTGTTTGTCCCTTTCTTCAACTTTTTTTTTTTTTTTTACTAATTTAACTTTATTCAAAACACTTTTACTATTAAAAAAAAAAAAGGATGTGAAGAAAGAAAAATCTAGTTGATGCCCTCTATCTGTATAACAACAGCATTGTATCCCAGGAACTCTTTGCAAGGATTCATTCAAATTTAGTATTCTTCCATTGTTTTGAGACAGAGTCTAATGTGGCCCTGGGCCTCTTGTTGAGATTGGAAGACTGGTTCTCTGACTCCCACCTCTGGATTGACTGGGATACTGGGGACTTGAACCAAGGGGCTCTGATATGTTAGGCTCTCTCTCTATCCATGGAGCTGAATCTCTAGCCAAAGATTCGTTCAGAAAGCAGGACAGAATGGACAGTTTCAACAGGAATAATTAGATATTGATGGAATCTTTTAGTTTGGAAAGAGAGAGCCGCCTAATATAATTTTCATTGCTTTCTCCTTCCTTCTTTCCCTTTGATTCTGCGCACTGTTCTGTAGATTCTTAGCACACTGGGTCATCAGATACTTTGACTGTGAGCAGTTCTTTTGGTCCCAAATATGTTCTCTGAGATTTGGCAGTGCCTATATCCTGGGTACCAAAGGAAAAAAGGAGGGAGACCTGGGAAGAAGAAGAGAGCAGAAGGGAAAGTTAGGAGAGATCAGAGGCACCCTCAATGGTGCTGGAGTATAGTCAGGGCTATAGCGCCACCTGCAGGTGCCCTGGACACTTTCTGGTATCCTGTCCTCGAATTTTCAGATGATGAAGTCTCTCTCTAGCTTGCTCTGTCCCAGTCTCTCCCCCACATCTTTATCTAAGGTTGGCTGTGTCTCTGCAGTCTGAGATAGGGAGTCTTTTCTCCTTATAGTGATGGAAGGAAAGGGAGTGAGGTTACCTGTTTGGCACTGAGCTGTCCCAGGGACTTAGTGCTTGTCTCCCTTTGGTGAGTTTATCCCTAACGCTTGAACTCCTCCTCAGGGAACCAGTGGATGAGGTGCTGCAGATACCCCCATCCCTGCTGACATGTGGTGGCTGCCAGCAGAACATAGGGGACCGCTACTTCCTGAAAGCCATCGACCAGTACTGGCATGAAGATTGCCTCAGCTGTGACCTCTGCGGGTGCCGGCTGGGAGAGGTGGGGCGGCGCCTCTACTACAAGCTGGGACGGAAGTTGTGCAGGAGAGACTATCTCAGGTACCTTCCCCGCACTCGTGGGGCACATCTGGGTTTGAACACATGGCCTCTAGCTCGTGCTCTGGCTCTGAGGTGCCTTCCCAAGGAAACCAGGCTTTGGAGGCTGAGCCCCAGCTGCCTCTGCAGAGGGACTATGAGCTCTCCCTCCGCTGTGGCCATGTTGGCAGAGACACATATCTGTGTGGTAAATCAGTAGTGTTTTTAAAGGTAAGAGAAGAATAAACACAGAATTCAGAATAAGGACAAAGTTCTGGGGGGGGGAGGGGTAGACCAAAGGATAGGGTTTGGAGAAGTATACATAGGGAAACGGACTATCATGGGAACTGGGCGTAGGAAGAGAGTTCATTCGTACGTTTCAGGTTGGAGTCTTAAGACCTCGTTTTAATACTCAATAACCATATGCATATATTTAGGTGTTCTTTTGCATGACTCCAATATTATTGATAAGAACTTTTAAAGTAACAATCTTTTCTTGCTGATGAGCTCCAAGCACTGAGTCTCACAGCAGGAAGATGGCATTCAGTGTCTATAAAGGGTGAAGACCTAGAGTCAGGAGGTTTGAGTCACAGCCTAGTGCTGTGGCCTTGGCAAGCCTCTCTCGGACACAAACCTCTATTTCCTGTCTATAAAATGGATGTAGTAATTGCAGTTACTTCTAAGGTTAAAAATAATACAAATGAAGCGCTTGGCTTGGTACATGGCTTAAGAAATAGATGTTAGCTGATGTGTGTCGAAGTGTTATCACAAATTATTTTCCAATATAATGGACGAGGAGATGGATTCATGGAAGGGTATAATGAGAAGTGCACAAGGCCAAGTGAGACCTGGGGCATACTCTTATCCATGTGAATGTCCTGGCACCAAGCAAGTGTCTGCCTGGCGTGTTCTAGCGTCTCTAGCTTCTCTATTAGCTGCACTGGAGGGGACCCTGTGCCCTGCACTGCCAGATCCACTGTTCAGCTGTCAGTTCTTTGTTATCGTACTGTGGCAGAGGGTCCACCGAGCATGCAGCCCCAATATATTAGGACCACCTAACCTGAGGAAGAGGCTCTTTTAGGCTCTGGTGCCCGTGACTGCTGGGGAGGTTCTTCCTCCTGCTTTTGTTCTCAGAGCATCGTGAAATAAAAACAAAACTGCTGGTAATTCCACAGTTGAAGGAAGCTTATTTGGTCACTCGAAGGCTGAATTAGTTTTTACATGCTTGCATCCTTTGATGGAAATCATTGCAAATTTAGTGGGTATTGGCAAAAAGAAAAAAAAAGCAAGCCTGACTATAATTTTGTTGAATTTCTTTTTTTTTCTTTCTTTTCTTTTCTTTCTTTCTTTTTTTTTTTTTTTTTTTTTTTTTTTCTTTTTTTTTTTTTTCTTTTCAGTCATAAGAAAATAGAATGGAGATAAATACAGACCTGGTTTTACTCACCTCAGGTCTGCCAAATCAGTCAGAAAGCAGCTGGGTAAATGATTCCCACTGGGCCCCTGCCTCCATCCCTGTCCAATCATTTGAATCTTATTAAACGAAGTCAGATACAGTAAGGTCAAAGGAGCCGATTCCTCCCTATCTCCACGGTTTTATAGGACATTCACGAAGAAAGGCAGCGCTGCCTGGGCTTGTTAATCTTTTCCATTTTCAAAAAGGAGAGGAAAAAAATAGTCTGGGAGAGCCCAGTGTTAATTAACTTGTGTCTTGGTGACACGAAATAATTCTTCTCCCTGCTACATTCCCAGGCAACATGTTAATTAACTCTGCATTAGTGCAGGCGTTCCCAGCCACCCTTTAATATTTATATTATTGTTATTAAAATGGGCAGCAGAAAGCTTAAGGCGTTGACACCTCTTGACAGAGGAAGGATTTTCTTCTTCGGGGATGGTCCATTAGCCATGGGCTTGTTTACTTCAGTTCTTTGGCATAGCTGGTGCTGATTTAACAGGGTAAGTTCAGAATCACTCAGGGAGCCCTCCAATGAGGTCCAGTCCCTCTCCCTGAGGCAGCTTCTCGCCGTGAGGGTCCAGAATGGATAACTACCTCCCAGACCTTTTGAAACTTCCAACCTCAAACATCCAGGCCCTCAGCTCAGACCTGCTGGGGTTACACAGTGCTGTCAGCAGCTGTTTCTGTGGGTGTCCAGCCCAGATCCTCATGGATCCAGTTTTCATGAACTTTTATATAGGTTATGTCTTAGCAATTGGCTCCTGCATCTAGCCAGTGCCTGTTGTAGCCTGAAATATGCAGCCAATGACCCATACTTCAGGGGTGTCCCAAATTCCTGCAGCTTAGAGAGAATCTAAGGCCATTTGGAGATAGGACTTATGCTTCAGGAGTCCCAGACACAGGGCCAAAGCTCCCTCTGAGTCTGTGCACCTGAGATGGCTACAGTGCTCCCTCTCCTCTTTCCCACGTCCCCTGAGGACATCATAAACCACTTGAACATAAATGCTCGCCTGTGGTCTACTTCTGCAATACAAGGATTCTCTGAGCCAGAGATTAATACACATGTTAAGTGTCAAGTCCTGGTTTATTTCCATCACTGTTAGCATGTCTGAGTACCTGACTTAGAATCAACTGCTCAGACCCTTGCCTCTAGACCTGGCCTTACAGTTCAAGACCTAGAAGCCTGGAGAGGACATGCCATTTGCTCAGGTCACCTAGCTAGTTAGAGGTGACTCTGGTACCAGATCTTATCTCCCAGATGTTAGTCCTTTGTCCTTTCATTAGCTGCCTGATGTGTTGTAATCTGCTTCCTGACTTCCCTTTAACAAGCTCCCTCCTTCCTTAAGAGTCTCACACCTCAGGCAGTGCATACTGTTTTCTCAGTTATGTGTTCTGCTCAGCTCCAAGCTTAACTTACTGAACAGTCGGGGAACCAGACTTTCTGCTCTGTGGCCTCCAGTGTGTCAGTTCCCTACAGCTCCACCATTGCTCTGGTGGGACAGAGTGTTATCCCCCATCGATGAGTCCGATTCCAGCACAGAAAGTAGGATCCAGGAGAGAGATGAGATCTCTCTCTACTCACAGACCCCTCTTACAGGCCATTCATTCTGGCCAAATGTTGCAAACTTTGGTAACTGCCTTTACCTCCCTCAGGACACAGCAGCCGATTCTCTCATTTTATAAATTGGTAAGAACTTCTAATGAGAACAAGCATTTACCAGAAACAGTCACAAAGGCCCTACATGGAAGCTACAAGCAGACATGCTATGTTACAAGCCCCATATGAAAATAGCCCTGTAGCAGTGATTGGGAGCACACCTGGGATGTGTTCACACAGCCAGTGTGGAGCTCAGTCATTGATCTCTGATGCTCTGACATGCCCTAGGGGTCGCACTAACATCCAAGCAAGGTTGCTACTAGGATGGCTCGGAGAAATCCAAGGCCAAACTACCTTGTTCTGGTTTCTTCTGTTCTTAGGGGCAGGCTTATTTTTTAAAACGGCAGCCACCATTAGCTTCATTAGCACAGTCTGCTGAGCCTTCTCTTATGTGTCTCTATCAGGTATAGGGATAGTTGAGAATTTTTGTTTCTAACAAGTCCCTGGATGCTGCTGATGCTGCTAGTCCCTTGACTGGCTCACTGAGAACCACTGCACTGGCTCATGCTAAGTTGCTTCTCCCATCCCAAAGCTAAATGTTACTTGATTAAGTGGCTGATGCACCAAGGCTAAGGAGAAACTTGATTTAGGTGTGAGAAAAGTGATCTCTGCAGAGAGTCATGCTCAGGGGACAGGAGGAGCGTGAATGAAGATCTTCTGTGCATCATGGAGAGATGCTGTTTATCCTCTGGGTCTCTGAGGCATGATTAGTGGTACTACAAGTCTCCTGAGATACTCCTGTCTCCTGGCAGCTGGGGCTCCAGCGAATGGTCATGTGGACATGGACTTTGCAACTTGATAAAGAGGGAGATGACTCAAGGCACACTTCCCAATGGGTGAAATTAGTGTCTGTTGAGGTAGAATTGGGAATCTCATAATGATGCCCATTTTACTGCATTCCTGGTGAGTTAACCCTTCAAGGGCTGGCTCCAGCTCCTTTTCTACAGAGAATGTCCCTCTGGGGAGAGGACATGTACAGCATGCCTAACTTCTCACAAGTCACTTCAGCTACATCTCTTCTACAGCTGGTCCACACAGCCTAGAGGCATGGATAAAAGCAGGAAGGGAGGGATAACAGAAAATAAAATGCCAGTGTTACCCAGCCTACCCTCTCTGTCTTCAAGAAACGATCCATGGCTATTATCTGGGTTCAGCTTTTCTGTTTGTTTGTTTGTTTTGTTTTGTTTTGTTTTTGTATCCCAGTTCCTGCTTGGAACATGCCATCCTCCTGCCTCAGCCTCCTGAGTACTGGGACTACAGATGTGCACCACTATATGCGATGAGGTCTAGCTTTTCCCATCTGTGTGAAATCCTGATAGATAGAGCCAGTCACCACTTTTTGTCACTTTTTGATGCCCCTGTCTCTTAGCTTTTTTTTTTTTCTTTTTGCCCCAGGCTTTTTGGTCAAGATGGTCTCTGTGCTTCCTGTGACAAGCGGATCCGTGCCTATGAGATGACGATGCGAGTGAAGGACAAAGTGTACCACCTCGAGTGTTTCAAGTGTGCTGCCTGTCAGAAGCATTTCTGTGTAGGTGACAGATACCTTCTCATCAACTCCGACATAGTGTGTGAACAAGACATCTACGAGTGGACTAAGATCAATGGGATGATCTAGACCAGAGTCCCCTGCACCCTGGGGAGGTGTTCAGTGAAAACACTGTCTCAGTGGGGGTCTTCATTCTTAGGCACTTTGGGAACCTGAGGGTGGGTAAGGCATTTCTTAGGAGATTGTGGACACTCCTTGGGCACTAAGACATAGCATCCACATGACATAATGCAAAGGCCAAGACTTCAGTGACAAAAGGACCAGCCCTTAGAGAGAATTTATGGTCACAGACTATCCATAGTAACTGACAAGATTAGTGGAGGAAATATTTGGGGACCAGCATGCACTGTGCCATCATGATAGGATTTCCAAGATAGGACGTGTTGGATATAGATTAGGTGTGACTGTGGCATTTATGGACTAGAGATGTGCAATTAATTTCTTCCTGGCTTTGGAACAACCCTATTCTAATCACTGTTCTTCACACTAGGGAAGGACAGAGAGAGGACAGAAATCATTCTTTTTTTCTTGATCACATTCCCATGGCCTAAATCTTTGGGGTCAGGGGAAACTGCATGGAAATACATTTCAGTTGGGAATGAAATACACATCCTTCAATCAAACAGTTATTTAAAGCAATGTTGGTGAATCACTGTTTTTAGATACCTTAATTTTGAGGTGAGGCACCCCCCACACACAGATTGTTTCTATACAAATTTAAATCTTAAGAAGAAGTCAAAGTTGTTCAACTATTTTATTATCTTAGATTATATCAAAGTATTTGTTGTGTGTCATTAAAACAAACAACCTCGATTTGGAGGGTTAATAAAAATGACAAGCTAAAATGCAGTGTTGTTGATGTGAAATAACTTACAATTTGGACTAACAGGGAAATGGTTTGCTTTTCTCCTCTCGGAAAGGTGAAGTAAATAAGCAATTTATTTCTAGGTCAAATAAAAGCTTCCATTTATTGCAAGGGTTTATATGAGGTTTATATAGGTTTCTGTATTACAGGCAATTATATAACAGGCCATCACATAGCTCAGAGGGGTGTGGAATAATTAAGTTGTTATTGTAAAATGTGCATTTCACTTTGGCATTGTGTGGAGTGAGTGGAAAGCAGCAAGATCATTGCCTTTGGGAAACTTGTAACCTAGAAAGCACACAAATACATAAAATAGATTCCCTTTGGGAGAGAAGGTAATTACCTGGCTTGAAATGTGGCGAAGATGCTGAGCTTGACATTTCTATTTTCCAAGATGTGTGTCTCAGGGTGTTTTATGACAAGTGGTTAAGAGGACCTTACTTTGAGGATTTAAAGCCAGCACCTTAGCTTCTGTGTTCGCCTGCACCCCCCTGCAATCCCCACCCTGAACTGGGGCGGGATCTGATTGTAAGCGCCCCCTGCTGGTCATTCCTTAACCCACCAGTCCAAGGGTGTCCCAGGGAATGACAGACCTCCTTGAAGAATATACTTTCAATTATTTCATAAAACCATTGGCAAACACTAGTGAGTCTAGATGTGTTTAATTATCAAGATGTCAGAAACATGCAGCTAAAGCAATGTTTAATTAACTTGAGAGTGCTCTAACATCTCTGTCGTTGAAGCTTTTTTCTTTAATTCTAGAGGAGTAATAATGAAGCAATGTCTCTCTTGGCCTGTAAAATGCTCGGAGTGCTTGAGAGATCTGACTGCTTAAGGTGGCCTATTTAAAACGAATCCAATTATGTTGAATCGAGGCCTAGATGGCCATCAGGTGCTTCTGGGGAGGGGATGTTTGCTCTAACTCTGCAGCTCTTAAACTGCAGTCAGTGAGTCAGGGTGTCTGCATCACCGTGAACTTGCTAGAAATAGACTAGGGACCCTATCCTCAAAACACACAGGAACAGAAACTCAGCAGGGGGCTGCCTGTCCTGGAACCGGCTCTGGGGGAGATTCTGACTCGTGCTCTGAAGTCTAAAAACGGCTACTTTACATCATCTTCCAGCTAGCAGGAGCGTGCTTTCAAAATTGTTAGTATTCAATATGTGGCATGAAGGTTAACCACTGAGGAATTCACACATGGAAACAAACGCTGCTTACCCAGGGGCCGGAGACTGTTCACTCTGCTTGTTCAGCTAACATCTGTCTTATTCTTCTTCTGATACCATCACAATTTGGTCTAACATTTTTTTTTAATCTGTGTTCTGTTTAATACTATCTAGTTGAATATAGCAGTGAGATTACAAGAATGGAGGATTCAGATTCAAAGACTAAAATGTAAGACATTTTCACTTTACTCAGAGGGCCAAACACTGTACTGCCACATGTAGAGTAAGGTACATCAAGATGAGTTGAAGTTATACTTGCAACTAACTCAGGAGAACCAAAGAGGAGACACTACTGGCCTTTTATATGTAAACCAATCTTAAACTGCAAGCTACCATTGGTATGTGGTTTGTATGCCCTACTACCATGTGACAAATAAATTACTAAGATGGACCCTAATAAGTACTTCCATCTGAACAAATATTTTTGAACAAATATTTTTAATCTGTATAATACTTGTTTCATTGTAAGCTTGCAATTATGTGTGTTCAAATATCATTTTTGTGATATTCAAAACTGAACCAAAGCCATTACACATGCTAGGCAAGTGTTATTGCTGCCTGTCTAACATTTTAAACCACACCAGTGATGATAGTAACAGCTATTGCCTTGTAATTGTTTTTCTCTGATTTTGTTTGAGACAGAGCCTGTGTGTTGCCCAGGATAACCTGGGGTTCACTGTGTAACCTGGGCTGCTTCTGAACTTGCAATGCTTCTCCTTCTTACCCCTGAGTGCTGGTATTGTAGACACCTCATCACACCTGCTTATTCCCGTGATAAATAAAAATAAAGTCATCTTTGGGTAATGTAAACTTCATTGCTAACCCTCAACTATAGTACAACTCAGGTTAAGATTTAAGAAGTAATCAAGCCTAGACCTTTACCATTCCAACACAGTGATCATTGATGCCCCCTCTTTATTTATTTATTTTCTTCTATATATATTGTGTGTGTGTGATGATGATGATGATGCCATGGTGGGAGTGTGGCAAGAGGACAACTCTGGGGAGTCAGTTTTCTCTTGGCACCTTATAGGATCTGGAAAATGAACTCAGGCCATTGGACCTGTGCATGTACCTATACTCACTGAGCCATCTTGCCAGCCTTTATAGGTACATAAGCAAAGTGTTTGCAGAAAACCACCCTAGGGGCTCCAATATCCAATCCCTAACTGTCTGCAGAGAAAGAGAGGACAGTTCACAGAGCCTCCCTGGTGGTCCTGGCCTGAATGTGTCACTGTTTTGTCCAGACCCAGCATAAAGGAGCTGGGCATCTCTTCCCTGGCCTACACTAGGATCCTGGAGTGTCTTTCCTTTCTCCTCTTTCCTCTGTGGGGATGCCCCTTCTTGCATTGCTCCAGTAACTCGACCTGTGCTTCTAAGGAAAGTTGGGCTCCCAGAGAGCTGGACTGGAACACCAGCTGGGAGGTTTAGCAGCTGAAGTCTTGGGTTTTAATTACAATGACAGGACTACTTAATAATCCTCCACATGGTACTTCCTGGGCCAGATGCTCGCTCAGATCTTCACAACAATTAACTCCTTGAATTCACTGAGCCCTCCAAGGAAGCTTCGGTTTATTGTTACCTGTGTGGTACCATGAAGGACCCTGAAGCCCAGGTGGCCGTAACCACTTGTCTGAGGTCCTCCAGCCCAGCTGGGGCAGGCTGCTTTCTCTGGGCATCTCAACCCTGTGCCCTGCTGCCTACCCGGGCTCATATCACTAAACAGAAAGATGCACCAGGGTGCAAATGAGTGTTTACTAGAGAGTGGCCACTTTTATGATCTTAAGAAGGAAAATTTGTGACACCCCTCCACACACATTTCCTGAGCCAGCAACAGGACTTTGTTTACATGGTAATCCTACTCACACACACACACACACACACACACACACACACACACACACACCATACACTGAGCCAGAAACAGGACTAAATTTATATTGCAATATTTTTTTCCTTAAAACAAAAAGGCCTCTTATCACCAAACAGAAAAAATCAATACCTTTCTCCCCCAATTACAGGATGCTTGAGCTTAGTCTATTGAGAAATGTCAACAAAGCACAAAAATGAAAAATAAGCACATAATAAAGATATGTGAAAAATACAAAGGCAACAAATTAGCCCAGGGATGGTTGTTTAGGAAGAAGAGGTAGGTTTGCAATGACCCTGCACCTGGAAAGAGCTTATGTGTGAAGAGCCAGGCGTCAGGCACCTTGAAGGATGTGTCTATAAGTGATCTCAGAGTGCAGGAGTGGAGGCTTGGCAATTGGCTAGCCGGTGGCTGGGGAACATCGGTGGGGTTGATTCCAGTTCTGAGACAGAACAGCTTTCTAGAATCTTTAATTCTTCTTTCTCACTACTGTGCCACAAGATCTGGGCCCAAGTGAACTTCATCAGCCTCTGACTTGACCTTGAACTCTTAGCTCAAGCCCCGGTGTTCTTACTGTTTCTACTTGTAGAGGTCAGTCGCCCAGGCTTGAGTGCTGAGGAGTCTCTCAGAGGACAGGAAAAGCTGGTACCACAGAGGCCCCTGGGCTGAATCTACAGGATCAGGACCTTTTTTTTTTTCTTTCTTTCTTTTTTTTTTTTTTTGTGCGGGGTGGGGAGGGGAGGGGGAGGAACTGGTCCATCTATGCATCCTTTGCTGTCAGTTGTTTTCTAACTTCAATCAGAAATTGCTGCTGAGGCAGGGACGATGGCTTGCTGGGTAAGAGTACTATTCAAAACTGAGGACTCATGTTGGTATCTTCGGCACTCATGTAAAAAATGTCTGTGTATTCCTGTAACCTCAGCATACTGCTCAGGGAGAGCAGGGTGGTGCTGTGGTTGGGGTTTGCAGGATAGGCAGCCTACCAAAACATGGTGTTCTCCAGATTCAGTGAAAGACCCTGTTGTGCAGATCTTACAGTGAATTTGTAAGGGTGGCTACAACCCTCCTGGGTGTGGCCTCAGGTAGACAGAAGTGGAAAGAGGAAAGCTGGAGGCGTGGCTTTCCTCTGCTCTATTTCTGGTGGGTCAACCTATCCGGTAGGAAGCCCAGAGAAGTACTCCTGCGATTCTTTGTATTTTTCTGTGCAATTGTTCTTCAATAAACACCCATTTATCATTTATCTTGGGTTTAGTGAAATAATTACATTCTCGCCTTCAATTGGCACATGGTAGGATTTGCCGGAGGGGCTTGAGAGATGGCTCAGAGGTTAAGACAACTGATTGCTCTTCCAGAGGTCCTGAGTTCAATCCCCAGCAACTATTTGGTAGCTCACAACCATCTGTGACCAGACCCTGTTTCGGGGAACAAGATAGGACAGCCTTTATCCTCCTCTGGCCTCTACACACACACACACACACACACACACACACACACACACACGCTGCTTAGCTGAGTGATGGTGACCAGCTACCGAGGAAGCTGAGACAGGAAGATTTCTCTTATGGAGGTGGGGGCGGGGCTGGTGGATAGCTCCTAATCCCAAATCCCATGAAGGCAAGAGTACTGTCTCCTGTCTTGGTGTTTCCAGACCCAGTCACCTGACATGCTACGTGCTAATGCTATCGACCTGAGTTTTGACTCTCCTCTAAGCTTCCACATCATTTGTTGCCTGACATATTTTCTTCGTTTTGTTTTCCACTCTGCTCCCTGCTATAAAACCCCTTCTGGGAGGAAGGCCCTATCTCCTGCTAGCAGAGCACAGGGTTAAGAGCCCTGGAGCTAACGC